TGCTATCAACCTTCCGTATTTTCCATATTTGTACGGAAAATCACTACTTCGTCCGCGCTATGGATTTTGAGAAAAATGTACGGAAAATTGAACGGGATTGATCAGTATGTATAAGCATTGCAAGTGCAAGCTGAGCGATGAAAAGAAGAGAACCGAGTGGAAAGAAAACGCTGCAGTGGAGAGTCCTTAGAAAAGACTTAAAAAATATAAATAATATCGCTGCACGAGATCATCCTTATAAGTTATAACGTCAGCTGATCGTACTGTGGTTGATTCATACGGCGGTAAATACACACCTGCCTACACACGCTTTCTAAACTGAAAAGTTATTCTGGCACAGAGCTCTCCTTCCCGCCACCACCACCATCATCAGCTCGCGTCTGGCGCCTAGTCGATGCAGGGTGAGTGGTGTCCGACATAGTAGGCTGGTACATCAGGTAGCGTATGGCGCATAGCAGATGACACAGCAACAACATAGCTTGATTGCGACGTACCTTTCGTCCCGGCTGGACTCATCAGGCAATCTTCTTCTTAGATGTCTTCACAAGGAGCTTGACTCGGGAGAATGAAGTTGAAGACTCCACTGCAACTGCACTTATGGTTGGTTCATATGGTGGTAAATACACACCTGGCAATATGGGGGTAAATACACGCCTGCCCAGACACGCTCTCTAAACTGCAAAGTTACTCTGGCACAGAGCTCTCCTTCTCACCACCACCACCACCATCAGTTCGCGCCTGGCGCCTAGTCGGTGCATGGTTAGCGGTATCCGACATAGCAGGCTGGCACATCAGGTAACGCATGGCACATAGAAGATGGCAACGACATAGCTTGATTGCGACGTACATTTCGTTCTCTTGGTTGTACTGTAGCCTGAAAAAGGAAATAAGACAATGCATCCACATGACACAGACAAGTAATTACTGTTACAAATAATGCATACTGCTTGATAACAGAGAAAGAAAGTCAGTGGTCACACAAGTTTTTGGTCGTCCCTGAAACGAAGATCGTTCCAGGGGGGGGGGAGCTAAAATCTCAGTCGACTGACGCTATGCATACACATGTACATGCATGCGATTTTCGTCGTCCATTCATTTTGGAGGGTGGAGAGGAGGTCCGAGTACGAAATGAATGTTTTTTTCAGGGATGACTAATCACTTTCGCGATGACCCCTTATTGCATCAATTTATCGTCTGACCTGCGCAAATGAGTCCCACTTTTATTATGTTGGGTCCAGATTTCAAGACTCGTGAAGTTCGAGGCGAAAAGCAGGCCGATGAAGGGACGCCAGTAATTCAGTCTAGTCCGGTGTCATGGAGAGGGGCCGATGAACCGGCAACAAGAGAATTCAATACGCATGCTACTCTTCAGTTCATTGCTGGGGAAGACTACTCAAGCCCACGTCACTCCGGCAATTCAACGTACAAATCAGCAGCAACACTTGCAAACGTATTCCTACCAGCTGACCAGCAAGTTACCAGCCATCAGCTCTTCAAATAATTTCAACTTAACAAAGAGAGGAGATGGACAGATCGGAAAGTATCGTGGCAAGCTCAGGACAACACACTTCCGGCCCTATGTAACAACAGTGGAAAGTGCGTGCCATGGTATATTTTCGAAGGCATATCAAGAACCAGCTAATGTGGACTGGGAGTCCATTTGCATCGTCCGATCAGCTGCTACAAGTGCCGTGAGCCAATGGCAAACACGTTTGACAGAGACTACTACCTCTACTGAATGCAACTTTGGCATGGCAGAGATCTACAAGCACGTTATCTTATCTATCAATAGAGTTGTATCCTCGTATGACTATGTGAAGTGTGAGGTCGTACTGTACTGCAGACGCGTCTACGACCTGGTTGGAAATGTACGCAACAGTTCCCACCCTCTTGACCAGAGATCGCACACACCCAAGGGTTTTGATGGGTTTGTACGACTCCCAGCTCTTGACTTTTGTTGGGTGTACGAGACGCACGCACAGTTTTCTTAGGGTTAGTACTTTTTCATGTAGTACTCAGGGCCTGCTCTAGACATTCAACACAGCCCGGTCAGAGTGTACCTGGTGCATGCAGGCCAGCCGGGTCAGATCATCCGGCAGAAAAACAACCAAAAAGCCTGCTCAAAACGACGTAAAACAGAAAGGCGAATTTATTACCGGTAATCGTTTAGAGAACAACAAGGCGAACTATCAAAGTCTGCAAATGTAGAAGGTAAACGACATTACGTGAAGAATGCAAAGCAGTTCCATTGGATTCTGATTTAACAATTTGAAAAATTGGAATTCTGGTTTCTAATTAGTGCTAGTAGCAGGACGAACATGTTCACATAATAGAGCACTAGGGGGTGCCTGCAGCACCCAGGAGCCGAGCAGCATGCCGATAATTCGAAGCAGTGAGTTCTTACCTTTCAACCACGCATCGCGAGCAAATCCACCGCCGCTCGTGTTCCCGAAACACGAGCGGCGGTGGATTTCCAAAGTTTGGAAATGCGTCTTGCACAAAGCACATTACAATACATGGATAGACTGGCATGCTCGTAGTCCAGCCAGGGTCGACCTTTCTTCCAAGAGTCTTAGAAAGCGTGAGTTCTTTTTCTCTTCGCTGCGAGCTCCATCGTCCAAATCACCAGTCGGATGAAAACTTGCAACTTTGTCAAAAGCTATAGCCAAAGTTACGCTTTTGACTGCATGACTGCCCCATCGACTTTGAATGTCCTGACTTCCTGCTCGCCGCTGGCCAGATCGCGCTGGAACCAGTCGACCCCAGTTGACCCTAGCCGAGTCTGTTGCTTGTAGACTAGTGTGTACGGTTGCGCTAGATTTGCAACAGATGGGGTCCGCGAGTCGGAAAATACCGGTATTTTAGGAATCCATTGGCAGTTTGAGACATGTTTCAACCGGGTCAGACTGGACCCGGTGTTATCTGTTCAGCCAGGTCGTGCAGTTCCCCAGCCGGGCGCGTGACCCGGCTGACCCGGCTCTCCAGCAGGCCCTGGTACTGAATGCGGCAAGCAGGATTCGCCCATCCGCCCCTCCCCAAATGGATCTACTCGAATGGTTCCGGAGGTAGGGGTGCTCTGGCGGCATTTAACGACATACACAAGCGCGCACACACGCACACAATATACACACGCACGCACACACATACACACGAACGCACGCTATGTCGCACGTCTTGGGCATGGCTTCGTGAATACAAATAATAATTTAATGTTATAATTTATAGGATCCAAATGTTAGAGCAGCTTTACAAAACCTACCGCTCAATACCGGATCATCTTGTGATAGCTTCCTTGCAACACCCATGACTTGACCCCACTTCGTCTTGACGTCGGGAAATCGTTCACACCGGAGTTGGGACACGACTCATTGAAATCCAGGCCTATCTGCAGCTGGGAGCAGGACAGAGCTGATGGACGTCAGCAGCGGCTGTAGAACAACCATAAACGAGTCTTCTTTCTCCGCAGTCAGGCGGGACAGCAGCTTTGCAACGCAAGCTTCTTGCCTTCTGTGGGTTTTTAGCGGCTGGGATTCGGAACGCTCTGTAGAAACCATTGAACAAGTACTGCACTCTATCAACCCACAAGTATTTCTTCCAATTCATGATTATTCGCAACTTTTTATGCAGTACGCGCACCAGATCAGAAGCCGCTAAGTAGCAAGGTTGAAAGTTTCAAGACAAATTGAAAAATATAATAACATAGAAAATTAGAATTCAAACCATACCTGTGGCCCAAGCCAATACAGACTGAGCGTTCACGCGAAGAGAACGTAGATCTACGTCAGCTGAGGTTTCCTTAGGATCAGGAGGTGATTCTTGACCCGGATCTGGATCGCGATCAGCAGCACTCTCTGCCTCAATCACGATCATCAGATGCAACTAATTACTTGGAAAAGTAGTTCATTCTTCTTCTTCTTTTCGAGCTACGATTTCCCACGATCCTATCGATCCTGCACGAGTCCGTTCCCCATGCACTCCCAAAGTCCCATGGCATAAGTACGCGGAGTAGTTGGTTTATAACTCAGGGCATGCACCGGGGATATCTGGGGGAAAAGTGGGAGAAAGTGCCGCGAGTCAATCATAGTCGGCCCGGAAGGCCTCGTGTCGCCTCCCGGGTCTATCTCTTAGCCTGTCACCAGGAAACCCTATATATAGGGTTTGACATAACGCTACACATAAAGACCCTATATATAGGGTTAGGACCCCTAAAGAAAGGGTTTGATCAGTCCTCACAACTGGGCACACAATACACACAGTTTCACTTGGTTTCTTTTTGATATTTTCACTGGATTGCCATTGATGTTAGCAGGAGCGCTCCTACGACGTGCGCGAGTAGTGTCGCCGCATTTGCTGCTTCCGACCCACGTGTGGATCAGCTGATGCAGAAACGGCAATGGCGGGAGCGGCAGCTGCGACAGCCGCTGTTGATGCTTCGCCTTCTTCTTCAGGAGCATCCGACGCTGCTGGAACATCGACATCATCATCCTGAGTCGACACCAGGTCGCCAGGAACATTCTCATTGCTCTTCCTCCATCGTGAAAAATCAAACCCTAGATATAGGGTCTAGAAAATGTTACGACAGCGCTGCACTAAAACTAACCGTACTCGAAGAAAACAGCAACAAAATGATCACGGTCTTCAGCAAGAGAACCGTACGTACATTCTACGTATGTAGGCCCAGGCGTCTAGTTGCCATAGCAGCCAAGTGGGCTCTCAAGAGAGCTCAAGATAGAACGCGCGGCTGAAAACCCTATATATAGGGTTTGACAGGCTAAGAGATACGACTCCCTGGCGGACACCTACGAAGAGCAGCCTGTGACGTTTATTTTTTATGACAGAAAATCCGCAAAAATAGTTGGGCTTGTCCCTTTAGCCTTTCGCTGACATGATCGATTCCACAGTACGAGTACGAGTCGTAGATGCATTCTGCTCTGGCAAACGTTTTGCACTTTCGGGAATTAATTATTTCCTCTATTTCACTCGTATCCATGATCCTGCAGTCGACGTCGATCAAGACGACAAGAGTACGAGTACTGAGTGTCGTTCAAATCGCTGACTGAGTGTTGTCTCATCAAATGGAGAGTTGCCTTTGTTCTGTATTGCAGATCAGGTTCTTGAGGGTTTTATGAGGCTGTTGGTGCAGATTTTTCCCTCCTTCTACGTCTGGACAAGATAAGAAACGAACAAATTGATGACACCTTTTGCATTGTGCCACTGTTTGGAGAAAAGCGACATTTGTAGTAAAGTTGTACTGTAGGATAATTTGAGCACGATGTGGGGCTGGCTGGGCAGTCTTAGCCAGCAATCGGCAAACGCATCCTTTCCATACAAGATTGGTGAGGAGAGAACCAGCTTGAGCGAGAAATCCATCTGGAAACTACATGGCGGACAAAAACAGGTATGGTCCATTTTTTTTAAGAATCCGAATCCCGAAAAGAGGCTAGTACATCATAGCATGCCAATGAATATGATAACATGATGCACAAACAAGAATAGAATCTGTAAAATACGAAAATAGAAGAAATAGCATTTAGGAGGCTCCGAACAGTTGCGGGGAGGGGGGGGGGGGGATACAACAAAATAATAGGATCAAATAACCAAATAAGCAAGAGCAAGACTTGGATGAAGAGCCAAGGAATAAATTTAAAAGAAAGGACCAAAAATGTTACATGTTTATCCATAGTTTGTGCCCAACACTAACAGTTATAAGCAAGATGTTGTGAAGTCAGAAGGTGCAACAGCTAGCATAGTACTGACTGATGTGATACTGACATTCAACGACTTGATGATAAGCTCCATCGCGTCTTGAATGCGCAACCCAACGGACTTCCAACTTGGAAGGTTCTAAGTTATGAAATAACTTGAGAAAGGGGATTGTTATTTCATGTGTGTGTTGGACACCAACTACGGATACCATGATTGTAACATTTTGGTCCTTTCTTTTAAAGTTAACCAAATAAGGGTAGTCATAAAAGCATAGCACAATAGAAGCAATTTGAAACTCGGATGTTGAGCCATAAATAAATGTGGAAAGGAAGAGGACATATGGATACGAGTTAAGAGTAACTCTCCATCACTGTAACTGGATACTATATACAGTCAGAAAGTGCAATAACTAGGCACAAAACTGACAAGAGTACTGAGACATTCGACGTCCTGACACCTAGCTTCGACACATCTACGCAGCGCTAACCGACAGCCTTCCAACTTGGAAGGTTCAAGGTTATGGAAATACCAAAGAAGGGAAGGCTTGAACCTTCCAACTTGGAAGGCTGTCTGTTAGCGCTGCGTAGATGTGTTGAAGCTAGGTGTCAGGACGTCGAATGTCTCGGTACTCTTGTCAGTTTTGTGCCTAGTTATTGCACTTTCTGACTGTATATAGTATCCAGTTACAGTGCTGGAGAGTTACTCTTAACTCGTATCCATATGTCCTCTTCCTTTCCACAATAGAAGCAGATTGGCAAAAAAACAATTGCGCTGGGTCGGGTGTCGAATTGTTGAGGCTCAAAGTCTGGTAGCAAGAGTACATAACCCCCCAAGAGTGTGCAACTCCCACATACCCTGCTGTCCCGACAGAATTTCAAGTTGACGTCATTATGATGCAATGCCCCTTGCACCAGTGATTTACAACATGTGCACGGGTGTCAACGCATCACACTTTTTTCTCTGCAATAATTTGTACAGGATCAGATGGGCTTCGGTCCACCACACGTTCCGGATTTCGTCTGATAATCCGTGTACAGTGCGCATTGCGTCATAAAAATGACGTCAACTTGAAATTCTGTCGGGACAGCACCCATAGACGAGTTGCACACTCTTGGGGGGTTATGTACTCTTGCTGGTAGGTATCGGCAAGAGTACATAACCTCCAAGTGTGTGCAACTCCAGCTATGGGGTCTGTGACGGCAGAAGTTCACATCACGTGCCGAACCCGTACACATTATTTGCACCCTGTGGATGATAGATGCAGGGTTGTACGCTACCCCTGTTTTGGGTTCAACTCTTGTGGTCACTTTGCACTGTTTGCCAGCGTAACCTTTTGAACTATGTCACGCGATGTGAACTTCTGCCGTCGGAGCACTGTATAGTGGCTGTGCAGGCAGTTGCACACTCTTGGGGGTTATGTACTCTTGGTATCGGGTGACATGATGTTCCTTAGGGCCGGGTTCCACTGCGGCTCCGCTGCTCCACGGCACTTGGCTGCGTGCAGCGGAGCAGCGCGGTTCCACTGACACTCGCCATTCGCGGTACCGCGGTCGTGGTCCACACTTTTTGATGACGTTTCACCTGCCTGCGCGCGCGCACGCGAAATCAAAAAAATCCTCATGTTCTGGCCTGCGCAACGAATTAAATTTTGAATTTTAAAATTCTGGCGTACAAAACAATGCAAAGTACGGGAAACAGGTCGAGCCGCGACCGCGGCTCGCAGTTTTTGGTCAAGAATCGTAGCGAAAGCTCGCGGTGAGCCGCGGCCTCGCTGCTCCAGCTTGAGCCACGGTCACTATGGTAATGATGACGTTTCAAGCCGCGAAAGACGAGCAGCGGAGCCGCAGTGGAACCCGGCCCTAAGGCCACACCAAGTTATTTCTATCTTTCGCGTCTCCACGCGCGTACCCTTTCGAATCGTTGAACGGAAGAAAAACACTGAGACGAGTCAATCGATGGCTTTTCTGGCGAACATTCTGTAGCCAGAATTGCAGATCAGAGGTTATCAGCTTCTCGATAATCTTGTATTCCTTGCGATGTCTGAAATGGTACAGTCATGTTTTTCGATTTTGACAGCATGTTACATTAACAAGGCGAGGACGCGTAGTGCTCCTGACTACAACCACTATCCGGTTGGCAGAGTCCCACAATTGAAAAACATGTTAAACTACCAAGCAAGGCTTCTGTGGATATATTGTACATACGTGTTTTCACGATGACTGCGTGAACAAGGCGAGGACGCACTGTACGGGAAACAGTGCTCCTGACTACAGTGCGTCCTCACCTTGTTCGCGCTGTCATCGTGAAAACATGTTACCTATCAGGCAAGGCTTGCATATACATGCACCATGTACCATGTACGTAGAAAGTGCGAGCAATGAAAGTTTCTTTCCAAGCCATGGGGGAGGGCCTGCTAGCCAAGCGAGCGGAGATTCCAGGTGTCAAGGACTCCGAGATTTTCCAGGATCGTGATGGATAGGAATTCCACTTAACTCATGTCAAAGTGCAGAAGGAGCCATCCATGAAATCTGTTGCGGTATCGCTCCTGCCCAGTCTGCCAGCTGTCCTGTGCCGACTTGTTGTCGTTTTGCACATAAGTGATAGTTTAGTAGTGCTATTCTGTGTGCAACATGGCTCAGTACACGTAGAATGGAGTTTTGTGGGTTTTTTTTGTTGTTTTTTTCGCTCGCCCGCGTGCCTTTCCCAGGAAATGTCCGACGCGAAACATAGAATTAACTTGATGTGGCCTAAAGTGTTCAGAGGAATTCATTATTATTACTTGCCAGAAAATGAATGGTGACTCGCAAAAGTTCCAATATTTGTATGACCGGCGTAGCAGGACAGAAAATTAGTTATTGCTCTCCTGTCCTTCATCAACATGACACTGGTGACAGTCTTATCAGCCACTCTAACAATGCAACACAACGATACCCAGTAGTTGGAACTAACTGTTACTTAGAAGTACATGTATATCCGAATATTCACTCATGATTATACATCACCTGCAGGACCAGAGAAACGTTCTATTGTTTTCTCTGGTCGTGTGGTCGTATGTGTATTAGGGAGGTTTCGCTCTACGTAATTACGTATGAAAATCCGTATGTCGTACGCGCCGGGGAGCGAGGGCAACTTTCATACGTAAATCTCTCTACGCATTTCCGTAGGAAAGCTCTTTCCTACGTTGGGTCCTCCGTAGGACTTTTTGAAATATTTTTTCGCATTTTCCGGATTTATCCATGGCAACATTCAAGCCGTGCGAAACACAAGGTGCACACGCCGTACACCACGTGCAGAATTGAATGGAAAACGCGGTTTCGGTTCATGGTGCATGCAGTGGGTGCATGCAGTGGGCGCATGCATCCAACGCGTCTCCAAAGCAACAAGGCATGTTGAGCAGTCGTGGAGAAATCACGTAGAGTGAAACCCAACAGCTCTGATTTTTACGTATGAAAATTACGTGCAGTTCCTACGTTATTTTCATACGTAATTTCGTAGAGCGAAACCTCCCTATTATCAAGAGTTCGTAAACCAGAGTGTGCAACTCCGCTTGGTTTGGTCTGCAGCAGAATTTTTGTTGGTTTATGGCCATGTGAACTTGGCCGGGTTTCGCGTCGGCTAAACTCACACTATGCGAAAAAAAGCTGGGGAAAAAGTTATTTCTTTTTTTTTAACAGCAAACAAACTCGTTATGAATGTTGCTTTCTATGACATGCGTTGCGCATTCTACGACACGTGTTGTGCATTCAGAAACAGTTGATGTCAACAAAAAAATTATGGCATTGACCAGACCAGCTGCGGAGTTGCACACTCTGGTTTATACTTTTAACGTACTCCGGATTTTATCCACAGCACTCATATCTGACAGGGACGGGAGAGTTGGACTTTGCCGTCCCACGATTTTATTATTATTTGTAGTAGTACTAATTATTATTGTCCAAAACCGACATGCATGAGCACCTGAACCATTACTATGACGATTACTGGGGGTGTCTGAAAAGTGTGCCGGCATTATCCGCCGATGACTTACATGTGTGGTGAATGGCACCACGAGTACTCTAATTTCAGAAATTTTCGGTGCTCAATATTTTCGGTATGTGGGGCAAAAGTCCAGCTTAGGTGAACAGAAATTTTAGGTACAGAGAAGCAGTTCCCTATTGGATTATGTGTGTTAGTGTTTTTTTTGGTGGATTGAAATTTTAGGTATGAAACAGATGCACCGAAAGTACCGGAAATAAAAGTACGCCGGAAATTTATGAAATTACAGTACATGCTGCATGTTCACACGTACATATTAGGGAGGTTTAGTTCCCACGTAACGGAAACGCGTACGTGGGTGATACACGTAAAGTGGATGAAGGGCACCCACGTTGGGTGATACACGTAAAGTGGATAAAGGGCACCCACGTTGCAATATGCTGTTTAGTCACACGTAATGAAAACTTGTGAAATCTTTGCAGTCGTTTCGATGGAAACGGCATTTATGTGAGCGGGAAAGTTTTGAAAGTTTGAAAACAGATTCGAAATCGACACCACGACAAAAGTAAATTAGTTGTTTTGGTCAATGGTTCTTGCATGTTCTTGTAGCAGCTTTGGATTCTCGTTGTCCCTCTGTGTTTGTCAATCAAGTACATGTCCTCATGGCTCTCGTACCTGTCCTCTGCGAGCAGAGCTATGTCATCTCTAAGTGAAAAACGAACAGTATTCTTTGTTGGGGTTATCTTGGGCGTACTGACCACAACCACATCCTCAACATCAGCCATGACGAAGAAAAGTGAGAGGAAAGATTCAACAACTGCACGGTGTGCTGATATCAAGGATATGAAAAATAATTGGTACACTGTCTTACTGTAAATTCCACGCAGGCTCAGCTTGCACATCGACGATTTCCACAGCTTACTTTTCCACTGGCTGTGGCTCGATGTCCGTCTGGATGTCCTCCAGCTTGTCCTGGGAACCCACACTCACAAATTCTCTCGCCATACTAGAGGCACACTTCAAGCAAACGTTCTGGTAACCTTCCCACTTGGAATGCGGTGGGTCCGTCTGGACACCAACGGACACGAGCGCATCTGGCTCACTGATCAATTCTGTCAAGTCTTCTACAACTGGTGGCAATTCCGACAGTACCGGTACAGGTGATGTGGGTGGCAGCGGTGGTCGTAACCCCAGGTAGCGATGGTACAGCCGCTCTTGCTCCTCTTCCTGGAAACCATAGAAAACAGCAATCGTAAACAGACTCACCGATCGCGCCATTGCATAGAGAAATAACTCTGGGAAACAATAGAACTACATGTAGCGGCCCTTGAAATATTGCGGTCACCTCTGCTTTCGAGTCCCTTGCAGCTTGCAGCATGTTCGGCTGACGCTTCGCAGGAGGTTCCGCGTGCAGAAATACACACGGCACAGCTCTAGTCACCAGCATCCGCCTTGAAGGAGTGCCGAAAATACGAGCCCTGAAGTCTTCCTGAAAAGCCTCCTCCGCGAAATGGCTTGAGCACACAAACGATTTACTACGGAAACTATCAGGCAAATTATCTCTCTTCATAGCGGCTACCCATGGCTCTGCCAAGCTGTCATCTTTCGGAAACCGGGGCAGGCTTATCACAGGAGGTATGATTATTGGAGCCATCAACACGGCAAGAAAGCATGATGACAGCGAATACCCTCTTCTTCCATGCACCAACAGGAAGAAGATACGAAATTCCCGTGTTATGGGCCGGGGGGATCAGGGTTCTAGCCTACAAAATAGCCCATTCTTATTTTTCGCGAACACAGCCGTTTCGTTCATATTCCATGGTACAGTCATACATTAATTGTGTACGTATGTCATTGCATGTACGGCGGACACTACAGTATTGTAGTTAGTTTACATGTGGACTGTACAGGACTGTTGTATGGTAACGCACATGCACACCTTGCTAGCTGCAAGTTCACATGTTTTTTGGCTTACCGTGAAACTACGGAAATATATCATCCAAACCTTTGCAGAGCTACTCCTGAGTATACAACATTGTAGTTTCCGTTCTTATCTGCAAAAATCCAGCCAGTAGATCGTTCTTAAAAATTGGTGAAATTCTAGCCTGGCCGTTCTTCGGCGCTCCGTTCTTCGGCGCCCGACAGTCCTGCTTGCAATATATTTTGTAGCTGAGCTCTGTGGTCTAAAAAATGCATGTGTGCAACTGTTGTTTCCATGCTAGGCTGATGGCACAGAGGTTTCAATTTTCATCTTCGACAAGACGGGTGCCACTGAAGATCAGGTTGGTGCATGTGTCACAATCAAGCCATCCTTTGACATGTAATGAACAAAGCAGGGGGATTCGGAGACTGTTGTTGTGCAGAATCCCTATTGCGTTTGCCACAGGTTTGGGATGATATTATTGATGTACATGACTGTGCATGCCAGCTTCCAACATGCACATCTGGCCTATACAGTTTCCGCCTGTACGGAGAGGGGGGGGGGGGGGGGGCATCACAATGGGTATACAGGCGGAGTGTAGTCAACAGCACTCGATCCCAATGAGCATATGCTTGGTAATGGTTGGTGTAACACGGGTGACATCCAGGTTGATGCTTGGTTGAGGCTACTCTAGTGACTTCCATACAGCTACTTGTAATGACATGCGGCTAGTCAATTCTCTGTTTAGATTTATAACAGTGTTGTTTGTAGGAGCGAATGCTTATGTTTGGCAAATGAATTTTACGATACCAATACGCGGAGCGGCAAAGGCTTGGAAGGGCAAACAAATCACCAGTTGACGAACAAGAATGAATCAGTATGCATGCATGACCAGGTAGTAATGCAAAGAAATGGTGTATGGCCGAATAGACAATTGCATGACCAGGTAGTAATGCAAAGGAATGGTGTATGGCCAAATAGACAATTGAGAGTAGTAATGTATGATGTGAATAGTACCTTGCGAGGATCATTCATGAGATCCCGATTTTCACTCTGATCTGTTCATCTGCAGGTCAAGCTGGCTAGAGCATCATTCTTCCGTTTGAAAACTCTACGCCATCCATGCATCCTGCGATATATTGACGGTGTTGAGGTAAGTATGTGCACGCATCGTTGCCTGCTTGTTAACCACCAGGCCGGCCATGATGCACTGCACATGTGAAGTGTTTTAACAATCCCTTGCTGTAGGAAACACTGAGTGAGCTCTGGCAGGTGGACACATGCACTCACATGTTCAGACTCCTGATGGTTGTGTGTGTGTGTGTGTGTGCGTGTGTGTGTGTGTGTGTGTGTGTGTGTGTGTGTGTGTGTGTGCGGGTGTGTGTGCATGTGTGTGTGCGTTCATGCGTGCGTGCGTGTGCTCTGTCGAGGGCTGACTTTTCCGATATTTTTCTGTTGCCGGTTGCTTGCTAGAGACCATCAGTGTATGATAGTGTCATACAGTGAGGGATTTCAGTTGACACAGCACAAGCGAAGTCTATCAAAAAATTTCCTTTTTCCTCTTTTAGAACCTTCACTCCTGGGTGGCTATGTAGCAATCTCTCCTATTATCCTACTCTAGTAATAGTAGTAGTGTCATGCTTTGCTTTCCCTGGCCCGTGCAGCTCGACACCAAGATCTGTGTAGCTACAGAGGCAGTGGTACCGCTGGTCGATTATCTAGAGGAGCAGAAGGCAACTCTCAGCAGTAACAAGCTCTGCTCTATGATCTCCTGGGGCATACACCAGATTGCTGTAAGGCACAGATATGCGTAAAGTTTCTCTCTGTTTCTCTCCTCTGTCTCTCTCTCTCTCTGTCTCTCTCTCTCTGTCTGTTTCTCTCTCTCTGTCTCTCTCTCTCTGTCTGTCTCTCTCTGTCTCTGTCTGTCTCTCTCTCTCTCTCTCTCTCTCTCTCTCTCTCTCTCTCTCTCTCTCTCTCTCTCTCTCTCTCTCTCTCTCTCTCTCTGTCTCTCTCTCTGTCTCTGTCTCTGTCTCTCTCTCTCTCTCTCTCTCTCTCTCTCTCTCTCTCTCTCTCTCTCTCTCTCTCTCTCTCTCTCTCTCTCTCTCTCTTTGTCTCTCACGACTTACCTGTCTTTATAAATGTAACTTACTCCAGTTCCAAAAAATTACGCCTCGGCGTTTTCACAGGCTTTTGAGATTAGCTCTCTCCTGAGTCTTTTAAATTGCTTCAAGTTCAAATAGGAAAAATGCCACCCATGGGCTCCGAAAGGGGGAGGAGGATGAAGCCCTAGACACTACGCACGCACCACACGAACACTCTGTGTCCCTGGACGATTCTGCTGCGCCATATGACGATCCGTTGGGTTTGACCTCAAGCCAGCGGAAGCACTCCAGTACACGGCATGACACAGGTGAACATCATACATGTCCGAAATGTCACACCACCATCAAACAAGAACATAACCTTGCACGACATATGCGGACTAACAAATGCAAAACATTGGCTGCATCGCAGGCTGGAGCTGTGTCAGCAGTCTCTGCATCACCACCACACGAGACTCCAATGACTTTAGAGGCAAGTACACCAACCATCACACCATCAGACCGGGAAACAACATGTCCACACTGTTTGAGAAAACTCAAATGGAAACAAAACTTGCCACGACATCTACAGACCTGCCCGGTCTACAAATCACTTTCAACCACCTCAGCCAAAGCAGACGGCAGTAGCGGGGATGGTCGGACGACTTCCATGATTGATTCAATGCACTTCAGCCCATCTGTAGGTCAGACAATGACTCCTGGAGATGAATTGCGAACAATCCCGCACGAATCCACTCCCTGTCATAATGAGTCTTTACTTCATGTCCTGAATCAACGGGACATGGACAAGGTAGAAGTCCGGCAGTCCCTACTGCTACCGTCAGCCAAAAACACCAAGGCATGGCACACAATAAACGCTCAGTTGAAGATCCATCTCACTCAACATTTCCCAACCTCATACCTCAAAAACACTAACATCGAAGAGACTCTGGACAAACTAGAGAACTTCATTCACTGGTTTTTCGACCAGAAACCACCACCACCTCCACCAAAACACAAGAATGCAAATAAAAACCGTGCAGTGGAAAAACTCCGGGCTCACAGGCGTGATTTAAAGCGCCAATTTCGTAAGATCAAAAACCCGGACGAAGTACCTGCAGCGCTCAGAAATGAGTATTTTTCAATTGGAAAACAAATCAAGCGTCTTTTGAAACAACAAAAGATGTACGACGATCGATCCCGGAACAAGAGGGACCAGGATGCCTTTCTCAAGGACCCATATGCCTTCGGAAAGAAATTGTTTCAACCAACCAACCATGTCAAACCCACTTTCTCTGACACTACCTGCTTTGAGTACTTCCAACACACATATGCAGACCAGGATCGTGCCACTTCGTACGAATCCTGCCCCAGTGCAGGGAAGCCCCGGGATTGCACCCACCCAGTCGATGAGGGGACCCCTACATGGACTGAATTTCAGAATGTTTTGAAGAAGTGTCGCAACACCTCTGCACCGGGTCCTGACAAGATACCTTACATAGTTTGGAAGCTTTGTCCCTCCCTTCAATCCATTCTTTTCACCATCTTTGGGCGGGTTTGGGAGAGCAAGATCATTCCAAGGCAGTGGCAGGTAGCGTGTATCACACTCCTGGCCAAGGGGGAGGTGTCTGATGATCCTTCGAAATTCCGACCGATTGCTCTAGCGAACACGTCCGGGAAGATCTTTTTCACCTTAGTTGCAAAGCGCCTCTTGAAACATATGCTAGGCAATAAGTTCTTCGATGGTGACAACCAGAAAGGATTTATGCCTGCAAAGGCTGGGTGCTTAGAGCATACATCACTTTGTTATGAGGCGATGCGTGATGCAAAGACGGCAAAACGCCAAATTTGCATTGCGTGGATAGATTTGAAGAATGCATTTGGTTCAGTGCGCCACAATCTGATACAGTATGCTCTAACCCACTACAGCCTTCCTTTGCAATTCAGGAAATTAATTTTTTCCTACTACGACAGTCTTTGCGCTTTCGTCGTACAACCACACACACCCACCTTTAATTACAACATTGGTGTTTTCCAGGGGTGCCCCTTGTCCCCGGTCCTTTTCAATATTTGTTTCCAGCTTCTGCTGGACTCACTTGCAGCCCCTGAATTAAGTTGCCTCTCCTATGATTTTAAATCTGCCCCTTTGCAAGTGTCCCAAACAGCTTTTGCTGATGACTTAGGCCTCTATAGCAAATCTAGTGCAGGTTGTCAAAAACTCATTGCGGTCACTTGGTCACGGAGGACTTTCTCTCGTGGACCCAATGTATGCAGGCGGCGCCGCACAAATGCAAAAGCAGTGCAGCAAAGCTTGTAGATGGCCGGTACAAACCTTACGATCCCTGCCTGACAATGTCAGGGAGGAAGATCGCTTTCATTGACACTGCAGAGTTCAAGTTCCTGGGGCGAAGGCTGCATGCTGATTGCTCTGAGCAGACCCAGCGGGAAGACATCCGTCAACTCACTGTATCTCTCATGCAAAAAGTAGATGGCTCTTGGCTTCAAGACCACCACAAGCTATGGCTTTACCACCATCTTGTAGTGCCCAAGCTTTCTTGGTCTTTCCAGGTTCTTGAACTCACACAAGGTTTTGTACGTGAACTGCACTTTATGTGTTTACCATTTCTGAAGAAATGGTCAGGCCTACCTCGATGCGCAAACTCTGCCATTCTTTTTATTGGCAGTCGCAAACGCTTTGGCTTACGCCTCCACTACCTTCCTACGGTGTGGAAAAAGTGCCAGTCCATCAAATGGCACATTCTTCGATCGAGTGGGGACGCGCGCATGAGGGCGCTGTACACTCTGCGTCGGAGTAAGGATGCGAAGCTGACAAAGCGATATGCGGCGACAATAGAGCTGGAGTGTGCAGAGGCATCAGTAGGTTCAGGGACTCTCCGTCCACCGTCATCTTCAAGTCATCGTGCAGGGTTGGGTGCTCCTGCTCCGAAGCAGCATTCCAAACCCCCGAGGAAGGATCTCCTTCAAACATTTGAGGAGATCAACGCGCAGGAGCAGATTTTGAGGCTGAAGACTCTTCAGGTGCAAGGCAAGTGGTTGGAGTGGACATCGGTGATGTGGCAGGACCTCTCGTGGAAATCCCTTTTGTACGGTGGTACTGGTAAGGATTTGAAATTTCTTCTCGCATCAACCCTCGACGTGCTACAGTCAGACCTCGTTTATCCGGTCCTCGTTTATCCGGATCCCTCGCCATCCGGAAGAAAATCGCTGGTTACCGATGTGCAGCATATGTTATGCATACAACATAACCGGACCTCGCGATCCGCATACCGGTGCATGATTTTGTGTACAAACTGGTTAAAATGTGTACAAAATGCTTCGTCGTATCCGGTTGCATGTGGCTGGCTAGCGCTTGCAGAAGCTAGTATCAAGGAGTTGTACAAGCAAATGAGGTCCTTGACCTGCTGGGTGTGTGCGGACAGCACTCAGTTGCATGCACTTGTCATTTTCTCGCTTGTTTTACATAATGCTAGTTGTACTGCATAGGACCTGTCTACATGTACATGTATGTATGATGTCACTGCTTTTGACATGCCACATGCATGTACAGTATGTGCGTTCAGTTATCCGGTTACCTCGCCTATCCGGATATTTTTGTGGAAAACAGATGTGTGCGGTTAAGCGAGGTCTGACTGTACCTTCTCCGACGAACCTACGCCGTTGGGGAAACACCGTAGTGGATCCGTACTGTAGTTTGTGCCGTACCTGGGCCTGTACTACGCGCCACGTGCTTGGCGCTTGTCGCGTAGCGCTGGACCAGGGACGTTACACCTGGAGGCACGACAACGTACTCGGGGTCATCGTCAGGAACATGCGTGAGGAGATTCGAATCCGCACTGCTGCAAACACCGTACAAACCGAAAATTCAAATGAGCTTGACTTCATCTCGTTTTGCAAGGCGGGAGAGAAGCCAGTTCGCGTTCAGCCCAGACGAAAGTTGGTTACGACTGATCTCCTGTCAGCGGCCTCAGACTGGAAACTTCTTGTCGACTCAGTTAGTGCAAAGATTTCTTTCCCTAGCTGTGTTGCACTTACCACCCTAAGACCAGATATAGTTCTGTACTCTACGAGTCGTAGGATTGTATTCTGGATGGAGTTGACAGTTTGTGCTGAGGACAGATTCAGTGTCAGTAACTCGCGGAAGGACAGGCGGTATGCGGATCTGGCCGATCAATGCCGAGCAAACGGGTGGCAGGTCGTTTCTTTTTCGGTTGAGGTAGGTGTGCGTGGTTTCATCCCGGACTCTCTTCGGAGGGCTCTGAAAGCGCTTGGATTTTCTAATCGAAGAATAAAATTTATTTGTAATTTGTGCAGTAAGACGTCTCTGCGAAGCAGCTACATCATCTGGTTGCGGCGTCAACAAAAACACTGGTCGGAAGATCCACTTTTCTGAGGTACTGTATGTGGGGCTCCGTTTATTGAGGTGCGTTGAAATTTATTCTCTTTATCTTATTATTTCTTTTCTATAATTTCCCCATATGAGTTCCTATCAGTTGCTGTGAACACCTTGAGTGGAGAGCGCTTGCTCGAGCGTTGAACCGGGTTCTTAATCCACCATACCCAGTTCGCAAGGCTGGGCGGGGTTGTGAGCAGGCTTTCATTTCATCTTTTCTTATTATTTCTTATTATTTCTGCTTTTCATCTCATTACAAAAATTCTGCGCTTTTTCTCCATCTGCGCATAAAATCTAGACTGACAACCTGCTTGTTAAAGGGGAAGTTAAGGCAAAAAATAAAATTTCACCAGTTGTAGTCTTCGGGGTGCTGAGTCGAATGGTCGTGGTCCGAGGAAGCTGAGACGCTCCCTTCCTACTTGAATCCCAATCGAACTCGCGCACTTCCACCGAAACTGGGTGACTGCGCCCTACGAGATGGGGATTTGTATGCAAAATGTCACTAAAAGCGCCATTTCGTTCTTATAAAAGCACGGATGACCGCGATTGGCCCATATGTTGTAGTCTTTTGGACGCTGAGTCGACTGGTTTTGGTCCGAAAAGGCTGCGATGCAGCGTTCCTCCTTTATTCCCAATCGAACATGGTTGAACAAGTGGTCACGTGCTCCTGGGTGCCCAAATCACCTGGTCACCACGCCAGCAGGTGACAACTTTCACACCAAGGTTCAACTCGAGTTCAACTCGAGTGACAGGACTGCACCCAAAAAAGGTCAAACAGGCTAGTAAGTTGTACCCTGCAGGCACGGTGACCAGGTGACTGGCGTACGCAGGAGCACGTGACCACTTGTTCAACCATGTTCGATTGGGAATAAAGGCGGAACGCTGCATCGCAGCCTTTTCGGACCAAAACCAGTCGACTCAGCGTCCAAAAGACTACAACATATGGGCCAATCGCGGTCATCCGTGCTTTTATAAGAACGAAATGGCGCTTTTAGTGACATTTTGCATACAAATCCCCATCTCGTAGGGCGCAGTCACCCAGTTTCGGTGGAAGTGCGCGAGTTCGATTGGGATTCAAGTAGGAAGGGAGCGTCTCAGCTTCCTCGGACCACGACCATTCGACTCAGCACCCCGAAGACTACAACTGGTGAAATTTTAATTTTTGCCTTAACTTCCCCTTTAAATCATGCACCTGCTTTCAGGCGTAAAAACCCTGTTGTAGAGGTCTCAGTCCTCATTTGTTAGACTTACCTGTCTTTATAAATGTAACTTACTCTCTCTCTCTCTCTCTCTCTCTCTCTCTCTCTCTCTCTCTCTCTCTCTCTCTCTCTCTCTCTCTCTCTCTCTCTCTCTCTCTCTCTCTCTCTCTCTCTCTCTCTCTCTCTCTCTCTCTCGGGGACGCGCGCATGAGGGCGCTGTACACTCTGCGTCGGAGTAAGGATGCGAAGCTGACAAAGCGATATGCGGCGACAATAGAGCTGGAGTGTGCAGAGGCATCAGTAGGTTCAGGGACTCTCCGTCCACCGTCATCTTCAAGTCATCGTGCAGGGTTGGGTGCTCGTGCTCCGAAGCAGCATTCCAAACCCCCGAGGAAGGATCTCCTTCAAACATTTGAGGAGATCAACGCGCAGGAGCAGATTTTGAGGCTGAAGACTCTTCAGGTGCAAGGCAAGTGGTTGGAGTGGACATCGGTGATGTGGCAGGACCTCTCGTGGAAATCCCTTTTGTACGGTGGTACGAGGTGAATTGCTATTTCTGGACATTGTACATTTCTGGACATTTCGAGTAAAACAATTTTTCGTCGCGTGTAGAGTCAAGTCAGTCAGGTTGATGAAGTTTTTTCTTGCCGTAGTTGACAGCTGGGTTGTTGTAGTTTCTCCTCGTGTCGATGCCTTGTTGATAGCCTTTGCTTGTGAGGCATTTCAACGAGTTTTGTGGTACTATATCGCATGAGAATTTTGAATTTTGAGTAAAATAAAAAGTAATGGACGAATCGTTGGCTTCCCCATGTGCACTCCACTTCAGACGCTGTATAGTGTTGGACCTGTTGGCTGGAAGTGTGAAGAGGCCAACTGCAGTCCACCAATAGAAAAAATTACAAAAATGGTGCAGTATAGGATGCCTATTGACGCTATTTTACTTTCATGTCCAGAATTCCATACACTGAAATTTAGGCCAAAAAATTGGCCTGTCGAAAACGTCCTGCTATAAAGTCTCTGGGATCACAGCACGAGCAATTGTCACATATTTGGAAAGATGAAGGATTAGGCCATACAATAGATACAAAAAGATATGAAAAATGTAAAACACACAGCCTGTGGGGCTCTATTTTATTTTCATGTCCAGAAATTGCTATTCACCTCGTACTGGTAAGGATTTGAAATTTCTTCTCGCATCAACCCTCGACGTGCTACCTTCTCCGACGAACCTACGCCGTTGGGGAAACACCGTAGTGGATCCGTACTGTAGTTTGTGCCGTACCTGGGCCTGTACTACGCGCCACGTGCTTGGCGCTTGTCGCGTAGCGCTGGACCAGGGACGTTACACCTGCTGGAGGCACGACAACGTACTCGGGGTCATCGTCAGGAACATGCGTGAGGAGATTCGAATCCGCACTGCTGCAAACACCGTACAAACCGAAAATTCAAATGAGCTTGACTTCATCTCGTTTTGCAAGGCGGGAGAGAAGCCAGTTCGCGTTCAGCCCAGACGAAAGTTGGTTACGACTGATCTCCTGTCAGCGGCCTCAGACTGGAAACTTCTTGTCGACTCAGTTAGTGCAAAGATTTCTTTCCCTAGCTGTGTTGCACTTACCACCCTAAGACCAGATATAGTTCTGTACTCTACAAGTCGTAGGATTGTATTCTGGATGGAGTTGACAGTTTGTGCTGAGGACAGATTCAGTGTCAGTAACTCGCGGAAGGACAGGCGGTATGCGGATCTGGCCGATCAATGCCGAGCAAACGGGTGGCAGGTCGTTTCTTTTTCGGTTGAGGTAGGTGTGCGTGGTTTCATCCCGGACTCTCTTCGGAGGGCTCTGAAAGCGCTTGGATTTTCTAATCGAAGAATAAAATTTATTTGTAATTTGTGCAGTAAGACGTCTCTGCGAAGCAGCTACATCATCTGGTTGCGGCGTCAACAAAAACACTGGTCGGAAGATCCACTTTTCTGAGGTACTGTATGTGGGGCTCCGTTTATTGAGGTGCGTTGAAATTTATTCTCTTTATCTTATTATTTCTTTTCTATAATTTCCCCATATGAGTTCCTATCAGTTGCTGTGAACACCTTGAGTGGAGAGCGCTTGCTCGAGCGTTGAACCGGGTTCTTAATCCACCATACCCAGTTCGCAAGGCTGGGCGGGGTTGTGAGCAGGCTTTCATTTCATCTTTTCTTATTATTTCTTATTATTTCTGCTTTTCATCTCATTACAAAAATTCTGCGCTTTTTCTCCATCTGCGCATAAAATCTAGACTGACAACCTGCTTGTTAAATCATGCACCTGCTTTCAGGCGTAAAAACCCTGTTGTAGAGGTCTCAGTCCTCATTTGTTAGACTTACCTGTCTTTATAAATGTAACTTACTCCAGTTCCAAAAAATTACGCCTCGGCGTTTTCACAGGCTTTTGAGATTAGCTCTCTCCTGAGTCTTTTAAATTGCTTCAAGTTCAAATAGGAAAAATGCCACCCATGGGCTCCGAAAGGGGGAGGAGGATGAAGCCCTAGACACTACGCACGCACCACACGAACA